GTATCACTCAGCCATGTTCCTTGACATCCTCAAATAATTTTAATAGATTAGTGAGGTCTAATTTTCCTTAACAAAAGTCGTATTGATTCTTCTCCAATATATCATATTCATCTGTGTGTCTGACAACTGTTCTTTACTACAGTTTTAATCAGTTTGTCTAATACTTGAAGTTAGGCTTACTGGCCTCTAGTTGCCAGGTTTGCTGCTGGAGCTATTTTAAAAACTGGCATAACAGATGCATCTTGGAGGTGAATGTATGGCTGTGAAGATGGTGTCTCTGGGCGGGCTTTGGTTTCCTTGACATTGTAATGCTGTTCTAGGAAGAAGGACTGCTAAGCAGAGATGAGGTGCACCTATCTAGAAAGGGGAAGAGAGTATTTGGATACAGTCTGGCTAACCTGAAGAGGGCTTTCAAATAGGTTTGAGGGGGGCAGGTGACCAAAGCCCACAGGTAAGTGAGAAACATGGAGACCTGGGAGATGGGTCAGAAATTGGGAAGAGAGCATGGGCTGTAATCGCAGGGATAAAGAAGAGAAAGGCAGAACTGAGGGGCAAAACTTTGCCACATGCCTTCATTAAAAGATCAGAGTGCAACAGAATAACTTCATATGTTCCTTAGAGTAGTATCTCTTAGCACAGTATTATCTGACTTTACTAAGAGATTTGCAAATGTTTTCCCAATATCCATCTTCTTGGTGCCTTCTGCTAGCAGAGAAGCACTCCCATGTAATTTCTCCTAGAAGAGCAGTACTTCCATGCTTGTGTTACTCTGGCAAAGTTCTGACTTCATCTGGCTTACTTCCTGCGGATGTGAGAAATAGAAACTTAATGCTGGGCAGAAAATAAAAAGTGGAGGAAAAGAGCAGGATAAAGATTTAAAATTTAGTTCAATGAGAACTTGTTTAAAAATGCATTACAAAATAAATACACAAATTTTAGGCATTAAAAGTAATACTACTATTCCTTAAGCCCAAGTGACTATTTTAGGCTTGCTTTTTCTTTGTTCCCAAGGAGAGATATGCCCAGACTTCTATAGTAAATCTGGTTGCCAGGTGAAACAGCATCTTTTAAAGGGATCAGCGCGGCAGCCATGTACATTTAAATGAAGCGGCGATTATTTAAATCGCCGCTTCATTTTCCTATGTCTGGTAGCCTAATCTACATGCCTCTGATGACAGAGGCATGTAGTCTAGACGTACCCTTAGTTGTCTGTATACAAAATAGGGCTGCCAATTGATCTGCATTAATGCCTGCGATTAACGCAGGGCAGGATTAATACGTTAATTTTTTTAATGCATTAATCGCAGGCATTAATGCTGTGTTGCCCCTTTGAAGCACCGGTTCGGCGCTTCAAAAGAGCAGCAACATTAGGAGCCGGGGAACCTTAGGGGTCTGTTTTGGGACCAGTTCTGTTTAAGATCCTTATCAACGATTTAGATAATAGCATAGAAAATACGCTTATAAAGTATTTGATACCAAGCTGAGAGGAGCTGCGAGTGCTTTGGAGGATAGGGTCATAATTCAAAATGATCTGGACAAACCGGAGAAACGGTCTGAGGTACACAGGATGAAGTTCAATAAGGACAAATGCAAAGTACATGACTTACGAAGGATCAGTCAGTTTCACACATACAAAATAAGGATTTGAGGAAGGAGTACTGCAGACAGCGATCTGGTCATAGTGGACCACAAAGCTAAATATGAGTCAAGAGTGTGACACTATTGCAAAAAAAGGAAACATCCTTCTTGGATGCATTAAAGGGAGTGATGTAAGCAAGATACAAGAAGTAATTCTTCTGCTCTACTCTGTGCCATTTATGCCTCAACTGAGTATTGTGTCCAATTCTGGACACCACATTTCAGGAAAGATGTGGAGAGATTGGAGAAGGTCCAGAGAAGAACAACAAATAATTAAAGATCTAGAAAACATGAGCTACGAGGGTAGACTGAAAGAGCTGGGTTTGTTTAGTTTGGAAAAGAGAAGACTGAGAAGGGGATAGCAGCTTTCAAGTACCTAAAAGGTATTACAAGGAGGAAGGGAAAAATTGTCCCTCTGATGATAGGACAAGAAGCAATGGGCTTAAATTGCAGCAAGGAGGTTTAGGTTGGACATTAGGAAAAACTTCCTGTAGGGTGGTTAAGCACTGGAATAAATTGCCTAGAAGGGTACTAGAATCTCCATCACTGGAGATATTTAAGAGCAGATGAGATAGGCATCTATCAGGGATGATCTAAATGGTTCTTGATTCTTCTGGGAGTGCAGGAGATGGGAGTCAACCTCTTGAGGTCCCTGCCAGTTCTAGCATTCGATGATTCTATGATTAGCTAACCACCAGTCTGGTACAGAGCAGTGTTTCTCAACCTTCTTTTATAAAGTGCCCCCTTTAAAAAAAAAATTATAAGCACCCCCCCGTATCTACAGTTTTCAGACACACAAAATTTTTTTCTACCACTGCAACACATTTGTTTAAACAACTTAATCGTAGCTGGGCAGGTGATGACATTTTTGGGTGTAAAAAGTACAAAAGTAATAAAGCACTGTAAAACTCAAACAAAAAATCAGTTTTCTTCAAATTTCAGTTGTGTTAATGTACCCCTCAGACGTCTCTCGAGTACTCCTAAGGGTACTTGTACCACTGGTTGAGAAACAGTGGTATAGAGAATGATTTAAGCAGTAAGTTAAGTACTACAATTAGTAGTTTGGCAATTACATACTCTAGTTCCTTCAGGACTCTTGGGTGAATACCATGCGGTCCTGGTGACTTACTGCTGTTTAATTTGTCAGTTTATTTCAAAATCTCCTCTATTGATGTGTCCACCTAGGACAGTTTAGGTGACAGATTTGCCACCTAAAAAACATGACTCAAATGTGGGAATCTCATCTCTGCTGTAGTGAAGACCAATGCAAAGGATTAATTTAGCTTCTCTGCACAGGCCTTGATGTCCTAAGTGCTCCTTTAGCATCTCGATTGTCCAGAGGCTCCTCTGATATTTTGGTAAGCTTCCTGCTTCTGAGGTACTTAAACAAAAGTTTGCTGTTAGTTTGTGTGTCTTTTGCTAGTTGCTCTTCCAATTCGTTTTTGGACTGGCTCATTAGACTTTTTACACTTGTCCAAGTTTATGCTCCTTTTTTCTCCACAATAGGATTTGGCTTCCAGTTTTTAAAAGATGTCTTTTTGTCTCTAACCACCTCTTTTCCTGTTCACTAGCCCCAGTGGTGTTTTTGTTCCTCTGGTTTTTGGTTTGTTTTTTTTAATTTGGGGGGGATGCATGTAGTTTGAGCCTCCATTATTGTGTCATTACAAAGTTTCCGTGCAGCTTGCAGACATTTCACTCTTCTCACTGTTCCTTTTAATTTCTGCTTAACTAGCCTTCTTGGTTGTGTGGAGTTCTCCTTTTTGAAGTTAAATGCGACTGTGGTATTAGGACTAAATCAAGAATTGTCTCCTCCCTTATGGGTTCCAGGACTAGCTGCTCCAAGTAGTCGTCATTAATGGCATCTAGGAACTTTATTTCTGCATCCCAGCCTGAGGTGATATGTTCCCAGTCAACATGGGGAGAGCTAAAATTTCCCATTATTATTAGGCTTTCTATTTTTGTAGCCTCTCTATTCTACTTGATCATGTTACAGCCATTGTTGTCAAGTTAGGTAGTCAGCAGCATATTCTTATGCTATATTCTTACTAGTCAAGCATGGAATTTCTATCCATAGAGATACCGTTTGATTCATTTAAGGTTTTTACTGCATTTGCCTTTATGCTTTCTTTTGTATACAATGCCACTCCCCCACCAGCACAACTTAATTTGTCATATATACAGTAAAACTCCATTAGTCCGGCATCCAATGCTCTGGGACTCCTGATGGTCCGGTACCATCAGGAACCCGGAAGTGCTGGGGCAGCCAGACAGGCTTCCCCCATTCAGCTGCTGCTGAAACTGACCAGCAGCGGCTGAATCAGGGACTCCTGGGGCAGAGCCTGACTA